TTGAGGGTAGGGGCCGTCAAAGTTCAAACCGTTCGTTCTGCCAAGTACCTTGGGGTTATGGTGGACAGCAAGCTTAGCGGGCGGGATCAGATTTTCCGTACGGCGGACAAGGCCGTTAGGGTGGTCTCCTCGCTTAGCCGGTTGATGGCCAATATCGGAGGTCCTCGGTCCAGCCGTAGAAGGCTGTTAATGTCTTCTGTCCAGTCCGTACTCTTGTACAATGCTGAGGTGCGGGCAGACGCTCTCAATAAGGAGGTATATAGGATGCGGCTTGCCCGAGTGCAGCGTCAGGCAGCAATAAGAGTTGCATCCGCCTACCGAACAGTGTCCGAACCCGCTGTCCTGGTGGTTGCTGGAGTCATCCGTGTCAAACTTTTGGCGGCGGAGAGAAAGGCAATTTATCAGCGCTGTGGGGAGGACCAGGCACGAACAGAGGAACGCACCCGCACCTACCAGCTGTGGCAGGAGACTCGGGGACGCTGGTCCAGGCGACTGATAAAGCAAGTCCAACCTTGGGTTAATCGGCGGTGCGGAGAGGTGGACTTCTACCTCACCCAATTTCTGACGGGTCACGGCTTTTTCCGATCGTACCTGCTCAGGATGGGCAAAGCCGTGTCACCCGATTGCATATACTGCCCAGGCATTCCCGACGACGTGGAACATACCTTTTTCCACTGCCAGCGTTGGGAAAGAGTCTCAACAGTTAGTAGGACTGCTGTCAGTGGACACGGTCATACCGATGATGACGGAGGGTGAGGACAGTTGGACCTGTGTGTCACATTACATCCAGGGTATTCTCCGCGCCAAGAAGCTCGACCTTGACCGGGATGCGGTGTAGGTCATAAAGTATCTAAATGCCAAAAACAGTGAGAGCCCTGAGGGCTTAGGTCACATGTTGGCCTGACTTGAAGTAATGTGACAAACAATTCCAGGTCTGTGTCCAACAGAGTAGAGGGGTTTTTTTAGTGAGTAGTCTGTGATATTTTCAGGAGTCTCACACTACAGGCTGGCTACCTGTGTGCGTAAAAGCATTTTCCCTCCTCTCCCTTACAAAAAAAAGAGGTTTTAACAAGTGCTTAGGATTGCTATAACTGTTAGAAACAGTTTATTTTAAATTAAATAAGGGAAAATAAAATATAGTTACCTATATTGTGTTTATTTAAAAATTGATTACTAAACTTTATAAAAAACAAAGATATGAACACCAAAATGATGTAGCCATGACAACCAATGATGAAAACAAACAAGCAGAAAAACAAACACAGGACAAATTAAATTGTTCTCAAAACGGCCTTCTTTATTGGTTGTCATGAAGCCCAGAATCTGCTGAATATATTAATATGCATTGTTACCGGAATCGTTCGATAGTACGGGATTATGTCAAAGTCAAAGTCCTTTATTGAACAAAACAGAAAGAATGCAATTGATTGACCCTTGTGGCAAAAACAAAGTCGCCGTAATTACGGCAATTGACACTTTTGAGGGATATATTTTTTTATTAAAATGTTGATAGCTGGTATAAAGTAAGTAAATTTACCGAATTTGATCCAAACATATCCTTAGGCAAGTAAACTACAACAGTTTACTTACTCTCCACAAGATTAACAAAAGGATTTTAAGTTATAGTTTTGTAATTTTGTCCATTAGATGTACAATAACTCTTCAATGTACAAAACTATTGATTTTTTGAGCTATAAAAAATTGTTTGCCATACTCCATAAAACAGTGTTCCAATGGTCATTCACAAACACATTTGAATGAACATAGGACACGGTTGTACTGTACTGTATCATTAAAATTGGATAGTTTACTCGAGTTATTGTGTAAACGGTCATATACATATGACTTTGAACGGATGGTATTTTTGGCATCTAGGAACATCAAAACGAAAAAGAAACGAGGTCCCGGGTGTAGATATTATCATGAGGCCTACGGTAATAGATTATTCCCTAAATGGTAAACTCACTAAAACCCAAAAACACTTATAATAATTCCATCATCTAACATAATTTACCTCCAAAGTAAAATATATTCAAACCCCTTAAGAGAAAACATTTTGTTCATAGATTAATTTTATTGTTTTCTTTGCTGCACATAGCTTTAGAATTATCATTATGAAAAAGTCTGATGGGATTTGAGTAATATGTATCAACATTGCTTTTAATTAAAATACTCATGTAGTTTGCTTTTTAATTAGTTAAAAGTTCTTGCACCTTGCCTAAATTCTAGAAGGATTGTAACTGGAGCTCTGATTTTTCCGGGGACTCAAGCAACTTATTGTGAAACCTGTAACATTTTGATTTACTAACTAGATGACGGGAAATGTCCACAATAATCCTTGCTGAAATCATATAAAATGCACATTTCATAACTAAATCCCCTCATAACATTTCTTAACTTGAAGAAAAGAAGATATATTGGTGGAAAGGCCTGTTTACTCAATCAAGGAATTCTTTAATCTATATCTATAAAAGAGGAACTATGTATGTACTAGCTTGTACCCGCGGCTTCGCCTGCGATGGTATAACCAATATGAAGCAGAAAAAGAAATAAACAGAGTATTATAGTATAAGCCAATAGAGGTGGCTTATATGGATGCTTGGCAGTGACCACAGTAAGACAATATCATTATTTATTGCCTAAAGCATAGTTTGAAAATATATCACAATTGAAAAATGTATAGTAGTTTGAAAGAAAGCAAACACACAACCTTATGAAAATAAAAACTTAAACATAATTGTAAACCATTATAAATACTATGACAATTCTCATTGTATCACATCTTTTTGTTATTGTTTAGTTCAAAACACCTGTCATCAATATTTTATTTTTGTTGCTAGGTCTGCAGATTTGCTGTGGGGAGGGGGTTTATTTTTTATTATGTTACCATTCCAGATGTACACCCAAAACTGCTTTCTTATGACTGTTCTGTGTTGTCAGTACATCTACGTGCTGCACTCTGTAGGTAAACCTTATAACTTTTTAATGCTATTGTAAATCATAGAACGAACTTTTTTAGTCGAAACAGCTGACTAAATTCTTTAATTCCCTTGAAATATGAATACTCATAAGGTTAACATGGGGAATTACAGAGCCACTGGGGCGGAGCCCGAAAGGATTTTTGAGATAAGAATATGCCTATATGTTAATCGGGAATGTAAGCTATCATCATGCCAAATTTCAGCCCAATCCGTCCAGTGGTTTATGCGTGATTGAACTTCAAACACAAACAAACAAACAAACACACAAACTTTCACAAGTAAGATGTATGTATGTATGAATGTATGTATGTATATATGTATGTATCTTATGAACTCCGAAACCGCTCAACAAATTGTAATGAAACTTTCAGGAATTATTAAGCATTATTCAAGGATGGTTTGTGTGAAGTTTGGTGCAGATCCGTCAAAAGGGCTACGCCCCAGAGGGTTTTAAGGGGTCCAATGTCAGACTTTTGGGACTACAATGTTTACAAATAAATATAATTTAAAAGCAGATGTTTACTTTCACCAACTGTTGGTTTGAATAATCACAACATTCTGTATTAGCATAGACAAAAAGAAATAAATATAGACTGAGAGCTGTGCTGCGGTTAGCGTATATTCCGGCGCCGACCGCTAGGGGTAATGTGTAGTTACGGCGCACACCGCTGCATCATCAAGCGCTAGCGACCGTTTCCATAACAACTTGGTAGTTGGGAGTAGTGTTGCCAACTTTGGAGAAATTCCCCAGAATTGGTGTTTACTGACTTTTTTAGTATTAATCAATAAAATAATTTAAAATGCCATATTTTATTGTATTTTTTTAAACGTATATTTTTTATACTTTTGTAGTTTCATTACAATGATTCAAAGTTTTTCTTTGTTAATCCATAATTTTAGGAAGTGGTTTATTGGAAGGTTTTGTTTTATATTTGCAAGGTCAAAAACTAATTAACCAGGGTGTCTAGTATGCGGGGAAAACGGGAAAGTCAGGTATTAGTATTGAATTTCAAAATGGTCTTGAAAAGTTGGGATTTAGTCTTAATTTTTATATCAAAGTCGGGAAATTTCATGATTTTATCTCGATTGCACTAGACAACGATCACGTTTCCGTGACGGCGCAAAACGATGATGATGTCTACACGACCGCGGGAGATGTCCTTAAACCGCGACCGTGCTATTTATGCTATAATATACGTCGTTTTCGAGACCGCGGGAAAAATGATCACGTCTTTTCTGCGATCGCACAAGACGATAATGTCTACATGGCCGCTGAAGATGTTCACAATTTTGCCGCAATCGTCGACGACAATAACGTTTCGTGACCACGGCATTCAATGATGATGTCTACACAGCCGCGGAAGATGTTCATGATTTTGACGCGATTGCAGAAGACGACACTAGCGATATAGTAATCATTTCGTTTGCAAGAGTGGTAGTGCTGGTAACAGCTGGCGAGTAGTCGTGGTCGACACCGAATCGAATACCGATAACCGATATCGAACGGCGATAACGCTCTAGCGGCAGATCGCAAAACCTTTCTTTGACAGTCTATATTTACTCTATTGTCTATGGTATTAGTCATGATTTGGAATAGTGCCACAATCTTTCCACAGAATGCATAAAAAAAACTATTTTACTTTTAGATAAGTCCAAATAGGCCTATATTAAACCTCAATCGCAGCACGCCTGTGCACTCAACAACGTTTAAATTCTCCCCTATACTGTATTAAATATGTAAACATAAAACGTAAAATCCTTTATCAAAGTAAAAACTTATATATTTATACACCTAATATATATATAAAGATATAGATTGTAAAGAACAAATTACCACTTAAAAAAATAGTTGTTAGCGCAGCAACGCACGCCGGGTAACGCTGGTCTCTTATAAAGATGGATAAAAGATCAGAAAATACTTTTAAAGCAAGAGATCTAAACTAAAACGACACCATTGTATCTATTTAAGAAACTACAAATAAAGAAATTTGTTTATTGCTATTATCTATATGTTGCCAGGTATGTCAAGGAGACACTGTGGTCGTTGATGTAGTAAATCAGATGCCAGGACGTAGTATGACAATACACTGGCATGGACTACACCAGAGAGGGACTCCATGGATGGACGGGGTAAAAAATCTGTTGTCATGTAAGATCTAAACTTTCTATGTGTACCCTTGGTAGTCCAGCATCTATAGGGGGTTGAGTATGCACTGAAAGTGTAACTCTTTTTGACTTTTGATTGTTGTTGGGGGCATCTTGGAGATGACAAAAACAAATGTTGTCGCCCTCCCAGCAGTTGCGCAACTTGGGGGGGGGGGTGGCAGGGGGGCAGGGGGGAAGGTGCTCTGCGACACGTTCTAGGAAATCGCCAATATCTGGTGAACTAGACACGATAGAAACAAGCTCTAAACGGCATTGTATTACCAACTTCATCGGCTTGAAAAAATATCAAGGAAAAGTCTCGTATCTATGATATTAATTGAGCTATTTAACAATTTAGTTGAAATAAAAACCTTACATAACGTTAAACTATCCATTAAAACCCTTTAAAACAACAAACAGTACAGTTTTTCATTGTGCATAATATATTTAACACACTAAAGTGACTTTATATGGTAATTATATAGAAATATTACAAGGTTATGCGAGGTTTCCGATGAAGCGGCACAGTGACGCGGGTGACGCTGCTGCAAGGCAGAAATCAATGTTAGTACAGACTTGTAAAAATTAGGCACCTTTGTACTGAAAGTGTATTTGATTGTTGTTGGGGGCATCTTGGAGGTGACAAAAAACGATGTTGTCGCCTTCCCAGCAGGTGCACAACTTGGTGGGCGGGGGGAAAGTAGTGCTGAGGCGCGTTCTAGAACATCGCTCATATCTCGTGAACTAGACACGATAGAAACATGTTTTAAACGGCATTGTATTAGAAACCGTATCTGCTTTAAATATTTTACAATGAAAAATCCCATATCAATGGTAATAGTTGAGTTATTTAACATTTTATTTGAAATTACAAATTTAAAGTCAAAATACTGTTTATCTACCTATAACTCCCATAAAACAATGAATAGTACTGTGTTTGGAGTGTATTCTATGATCAACACACGAATTACAAAACATTAAGTGTCCATTCCTTAAAATAATATGTACAGAGTTCTCGAGTTAGTGAGAAAATAATTATAAGCTGTTTTTAACACTAGGCTATTTTAAATATAAAATTTAAACAAAAATCTTGGTACAACTACTAATGAAAATGCTTCACTTTGAAATGTATACTTTTTTTAAAGAATATTAAAATAGGCTTGGAAATGTTGTACTTCACTTTAAAACTTAACTACGATATAAAATACTCATAACAAAGCAATGGATACTATGTAACTCCGTGCCCAACATTCTCTTATGGCAGAGGCAGACGATACAAAAAAGTGTTCTGGTTCATAGTCCTGACACTGACATATTTGTGTTAGGCATAAGGTTTTGGGAGATTTTTAGACAAAGGGGTTGTGAAGGTTTGTGGCTTGTTGTTGACTTAGGCACGAAGAAAAGAAGTTTAAGTTGCCATGAAGCAGCAGAGACCCTAAGCAATAGATTCTGCGAGATTTTACCAGCCCTCCACTGTTTCACAGGCTACAACACGAGTAAGATAGCAATATAAAATGCCGCCTACAAGTATGCCAAATCCAACTTAGAAGAAAATTTCTTCTAAGACATTTTTAAAACACTAACTATTTAATAGTTAGTGTTTTGCAGCTATTACAACAGAAACCACTACTTGATGATAGCGTGAAAAAATTTGAAGAGTTATATTTAAAGTTATTAAGAAGAAAAGGAAGCACCTGCAATAACAGCCGCTTATTGTTGATAGAAATCACAACAATCCATCTGCCGTCAAGGACATTAGTAAAATGCCTTGCACAACAGACGGCTTCAAACTACACCTGTTACGGTGTAGTGCCCAACTATATTTTTTGGGAAATGTCCTTAACAGCTGAAATAGAGCCTTTAGATCGATTCCAGTACGGATTTTTCAAAGACAGCTCAGGAAAATTGCGCCCCCTCCTTATGACACTGCCTCCGGCTCCTACAAATTTGCTAAAGCCATGTAAGTGCAAGACATGTTCTAGAGCAACTTGTAGCTGTTATTCAAACAAGTCATCCTGCTGCTCCTACTGCAAATGTTGATGGAAATAGTATCCATTGTTTTGTTATGTGTAGTTTATGAAATGAAATGAAATGAGTAAGTGCTTTATTAAACGATAAGGTAATATGTACATCCAAAAATATAACACTTTTAAACAATGGTTGATAACAACCGTCTGTTTGGTTGACACAATCTTTGCCTTCTAAAATAGTCTTTAAACAACATTTAGCACAAAAGAAATGAACATTTTTATACAATAAATAAAATAATAATAAAACACAATTAGAGTACTCAATAGATAACAAAACATAATACAGAGTTAAACGTAATCAGATAAAAATAAACGAGTTTCAAGGTTTTTTGTTTTTGTTTGTTTACCTAAAATTTAGAAATTAAACTCGCTAATAAGATCCCATCTATACTTCCAAGCTTCTCTAATGTATTTTGTGAAGATACGCCAATCCTTCCCGTTTAGATATTGATAATATTCTACTTCACTCAAAGTGTTGCTTCCTAACCAAGACCTTCTAATATTACCCAAAATTGGACAGACGGCAATGAAGTGAAAGGTAGTTTCGTACTCTTCAAGATTGCATAATGAGCAAATAAAATTTTGTTCGGTCCAGGGTTTATAATTTAAATTTACCAGCTCTGCCCTAGCTTTAATCGCCCAAGAAATTAGTTCAACATCGCTGAAGGCAAGGGGACTCTTATCTCCTAGTTCAAGGTCAACTCGCAATAGCTGTTTGTGATAAACAGATGTCCTAGCTCGGCCTACACATTCATCCTTCCATTTGATTTTAATGGCTTCTGCCAGCGATCCTAACTGTATCGCCAATACGCTGACATCCTGAGTTTTAAAATTTATTTCTTAGCCATGAGTTTTCCCAACGGTTTCCCAATGTCTGCACCAAAATATATGTTTTTCAATAACCTGTTTTGCTAATATTCTAGGCAATCTATTATTAGGCAAAGATAACACTCTAACTATATAATTTATATTTGTTCTTAAAGTTTGGAAAAAAATTTTATCAGCACCCGTCTCTATATATAGTATGTTTAGTTTATATGGTAGTTAAGTTTTAAAATGTAGTAAAATGTCTAGTTCACGAGATATGAGCGATGTTCTAGAACGCGCCTCAGCGCTTTTCCCCCCCCCCCCCCTCCCACCCAGTTGTGCACGTGCTGGTAGGGCGACAACATCGGTTTTTGTCATCTCCAAGATGCCCCCAAAAACAATCAAAAGTCAAAAAGAGTTACTACCTCAGTACATACCCAATTTTTACAAGCCTGTAGTACTTGTTGATTTGTGCCGCGCAGCGGCGTCACCCGCGTCCCTGTGCCGCTTCATCGGAAACCTCGCATAACCTTGTAATATTTTGATATAATTACCGTATAAAGTCACTTTAGTGTTTTAAATATATTATGCACGATGAAAAACTGTACTGTTTGTTGTTTTAAAGGGTTTTTAATGGATAGTTTAACGTAATTTAGGGTATTTAATTCAAATTTTTAAATAAATTGTTAAATAACTCAATTAATATCATAGATACGGGAATTTTCCTTGTTATTTCTTTAAAGCAGATGAAATTGGTAATACAATGCCGTTTAGAGCTTGTTTCTATCATGTCTAGTTCACCAGATATGAGCGATTTTCTAGAACGCGTCTCAGAGCACCTTCCCCCCTCCCCCCCAAGTTGTGCACCTGCTGGGAAGGCGACAACATCGTTTTTTGTCACCTCCAAGATGCCCCCAACAACAATCAAATACACTTTCAGTACAAAGGTACCTAATTTTTACAAGTCTGTACTAACATTGATTTCTGCCTTGCAGCAGCGTCACCCGCGTCACTGTGCCGCTTCATCGGAAACCTCGCATAACCTTGTAATATTTCTATATAATTACCATATAAAGTCACTTTAGTGTGTTAAATATATTATGCACAATGAAAAACTGTACTGTTTGTTGTTTTAAAGGGTTTTAATGGATAGTTTAACGTTATGTAAGGTTTTTATTTCAACTAAATTGTTAAATAGCTCAATTAATATCATAGATACGAGACTTTTCCTTGATATTTTTTCAAGCCGATGAAGTTGGTAATACAATGCCGTTTAGAGCTTGTTTCTATCGTGTCTAGTTCACCAGATATTGGCGATTTCCTAGAACGTGTCGCAGAGCACCTTCCCCCCTGCCCCCCTGCCACCCCCCCCCCCAAGTTGCGCAACTGCTGGAAGGGCGACAACATTTGTTTTTGTCATCTCCAAGATGCCCCCAACAACAATCAAAAGTCAAAAAGAGTTACACTTGCAGTGCATATTCAACCCCCTATAGATGCTGGACTATGGGTGGTAATGTGGATTTGAAAGTTTAGAGTAAAAGACAGTATAGTTCAAACCTGTTTTTTCATGAACAAATTGTAAAAATGTTTCTAATAAACATTTTAATTATAAAACATATTATAAAAATAAGGGGAGCTTAAGTTATAAGCTTTGACAGCAGGTTCAATACCACATTTCCAAGCTCCCCAGGAGTTTAAAAATATTATTTTAACTTTTCTCATCACATTTTGCCTTTAGTGAAATATGAAATAATAACTATTACAGTTTTTCAACAAGCTCACACACATAGATAAATCTTAGAGTAAAACATATTTTTACAATCTTGGATACATATTATTAATACAACCGCCGTAGCAAACCTGCATACTAAGGGAATTTCCATTTGCCAGATTGGATTTACACTAAAATATCTCATAATAATATCGGATTTATTCCCTATGTAGCACTAGTTTAACGATCACTTAGGTTTTTTTGCGACAGGGAGCGTAAAAAAGTGTTTTTAGTAAAATGGTAAATAGTTTAGTATGAAATAAATGCATTTTCCAAATTTGATCAAAGTATGTTCATAAACAAGCAAACTAAAAGTTATCTTATTCACTCTCTATAAGAATAACATGGAAATTTAAAATTTGAAATTTTTTGGAATTTTCTCCGTAACTATTAGGCGCATAACAACGCTTCACTATACTATATAATTGTTTGTTTGTTTTGAGCCCTACAAAACGGTTTCAAAATAAATTGCAAAATTTTATGTTTTAATGGTCAAAAATGGGAAAACACAATTTTTACCCCATAAACCCCCCTTCCCATGGTCCTATCATGCTGGTTCGCAAACTCGTTCAAATAAATGTAGGTTTATACGTTTGTACCAAATCTCATCAAAATCTGATAATTTTTGCTCGAGTTATCGTGCTAACGGACACACACACATATATATATAAATATAAATGATACATTTCTCATTCATTCAGTGCAGTGGCCAAGCAGATGATAAATCTTGTGATAATACATATTCTTATGATTACACATGTTCTTATCATACCACCAGAGACCACTGCACTGAATGATGGAGAAGGACTGTTTGGAGGCATCTCTCCCCTAAGCTTGTAAGGCTTATTTGAGGCCTAAGGAATTAAATTTCCCTTAAAGAATTATACCTAGCCTATGTTATATATATATAATATATATACATGAATTTGAACGGATGGTGCTTTTTTGGCCTCTAGGGACCTCAAAACAAAAAAGTGAATCGGTCCCGGGTCCAGGTCTTACCATGAGTACTACGGTAATAGCTTATTCCCTATATGAGAAATTCGCTAAAACATATTAAACAGCTGAGCTGCTGTAAAGCACAATGTACACAATTTCACAAACAACGTCTGGCTGGACCAATACATCTTATTGTAAAAGTCATAGCTTATAAATCTAATTTCAACTGAAAACTAAAATGCACAATCATGCACATCATGTAGCCTAGAGACTTTAATCATACTTAAACTTCTTTCTAGGTACCATTCCTAACCCAGTGTCCCATTCACGAGTCCGAAGTTTTCCGATATCGTTTCAAAGCTGACGATTGTGGCACAAACTTCTGGCACTCGCATGATGGTAAGCATCATTAAACTAAATATTTTTATTTAAATTCAAACATTTTGTGAGGAATAAAATAAAAATATATAATTTAATTTAAATAAACTTGTAACAATTGAGGAATATTCAGATGAATTACACTATGAAAACACTTACGCCATTTTGTAGTTGATATTATTTGAATAAATTAACATCTGAGAACTCCTTAACACGTTCAGTGCGAGGGGCGGAAATTATCGCCCCGTGGTACCGGCGCCTCTGGTGCGGAGCAGGAAATCACGTCCTTCACCAATGCCAACAACTTTGCTTCAATGTAAGCTCAGCCATTGCCGGGGAATGTTGTAATTGTTGCCAGCCTGTAGCGTAGAATGCGAGCTTTATTTTGGTGTGGGTTGGTACTAAACATTCCCGTAAAATCCCGTCTGGCAATGCTTTTGTCCCGTTTTCAGGGATTTTCTCTATTCAAGCCTTATTACAAAGACTCTGGTTATTGATCCAGCAGTGCTGCTACCTTTGGGTGTTTTAGTGAACTACATCCACTTTCGGGGTAACGCAGAACAATCACCACTTCTCTTTTGTGATTTGTCTTACTGAGATATTTCAATGCCAATTAATAGCGATCGCTGATTCAGTTAGCGGTCCAGGGCTCCGCCCGGGCCTCGCCGCAGTTTAGGAGTGCCTGTGTAAAGGTTTTCAGCAGTGAACGTGTTAAAAATACTGGCAATACAAAATGTGTCTTTATCACCAGAACCGCTAATTGTGTAAGTTTAAAGGCGGAGTTTGATGTCTGGAGTTGGAGTTTAATAAGTTTAAAAATCAGTTTTTAATAAGTTTAATGTCTGGAGAGACATGCGCCATTCGCCAAGCACCGAGCAGCGACTCGCTGAATCGCGAGTAGTGTGGACAGGTGTTTGTCTATTTGGCAAGCAGCGTGTTTGTGTTTTCCCGTTCATTGTCGGTATTTTTGCACACATGAAAGTAAACAAATATTTGATATTCCCGAAACAAATGAAAAACGAACAGTTGCTCGGAAAACAACACGTCATGTGTGTAGAGTAACATAGTAGATAGAAAACATAATCACAGATATTTTTAACGTTTGTGATGGTAAAATTAATATGTCTGCAACATTAATTGCACAAATAAATAATGAAATAAACTGTAACTGAGCTTTTGACTCAGTCTCTCATGAAATTCTTATTAAAAAATTAGCTTTTTACGGAGTAGTTAAAAATAATTAAATCTGTTAAACTCATATTTAGCAAACCGTTTCCAGCTGGTGCAGGTAAATAATTCAAGATCTAATATGTTAAAAACCAAAATTGGCATACCTCAAGGATCAGCTCTTGGGCCTCTACTTTTTATTGTTTTTATTAATGATTTGCCTTGTTTTGTTCCCTGTAAAGCCACTCTTTACACTGATGATACTACATTCCTCACAAGTGGTCAAAATCTGAACAAATCACTTGAAGAACGGGATGAGGTGTTAAAGTAGGCTCAAGAGTGGTTTCGGGGAAATGAATTAAGGATTAATAACTCAAAAACAGAAGAAATTCATTTTAACCTTAAAATAAATTCTAATGACAATAAATCAGTAAAATTGCTAGTTAAAGGAATTCATATTGATCAGAAGCAGAATTGGAGTGAGCATACAAACTTTTTATGTAGTAAATTGGCTAGAACTGTATTTTTGTTTAACAAATCAAAGGCCAATGTATGTATGTATGTATGTATGTAAATGAACAAATTATTCTAAACTAGCAACAGAGCCCGTTGTGGTTTAATACAACGGTCTCAAGTAAAATAATGGTTATGAAATCCATACAGCACTTTACTCACTAATATTAATATTAATGGTAGAGATTAAGCACATAACATTAGAATCACACACTTAACGTAACAAAAACACTTTGAACACAAATGCAAATTGTTAACAACAACATTCAATGAAAGAAAAATCTATTAAATAACAATATAACAATAAGCTGTTCAATTAATTATTAACACATGTTTTGTATGATTAGATTATGCATATTGGTAAACCAATTATTGCCATCTATAAAATTTATTAGTTTTTCTTTTCCGAGTCACGTTAGCTTTTCCAACCGACCGATTTTATGACCGACCGAATTCATTTTAACGTATATTTTGAGCTATGCACAAACTGCCTTTCCTGTACATTTCTTGTGGGAGTTAAATTTGGTTTTTTCAAGTTCGTTTGGATCTTCTACCTGACCGATTTTTATAATTTTGGTCTTAAAATAAAGAAATGCAAGCACATATTTTTCATCAAGTATCATCATTAATTTATCTAATGTATTACTCGACAAAAAATATAAATTTGATTTTTATTTATTTTTTACTTCAATTAAAGATGTATTCCAGCAGTTCTAATTGCATTACCCTATATGTTTTCGTCTAAAAACATTAAGTGAAATACCAGCTTACATTTCAGCTATTGATTATTAAGATCGGACTACCTAAAGCACATTGCTGAATCATGAATCAACGATAATTATAATCGTTTTAGTACTTATCTGCAATCAATGATACGCAACTCTATTTTTATTTAAGTTATTTTACATGTCTTGGTCTTAAAATACTTCTAGAAATAAAGGTTTTAATTTGAGATATTGATAGTGTTGGTTAAGTTAAGAGTTCAAGTTAAGTTAGTTAACTTCAAGATACTGTATCGCTCAATCGGAAAACATAAATTCGATTATATCTTGGAATACGGAATATGGAATATCTTATATGGAATTTAGTTTTTGTACTCAATTCTAATTACGTAATTCTATTTGCCGATCTCCAAAAGATTATCCAAAAGCAGGTTCTTTTGACCTAAAAACCTTCAGTGAAATACCAGTATCCATTTGAATTATTGATTATTAAGATCGGATGTACCTAAAGCACACTGCTAAATCACGGACAACCCAAATTGTTCAAAAAATTGAGTTATTTATCATCGATTTATAGTCAACGACCTTGCCTGCAACCTCAAAAGTAACTGTCGACTTTGGAGGGTTTCACCTAGTAAATATAAAAAATCTAATGTTCATAACTACATATTTGCAAATCAACTTGAATTAGGCTTTCCAGTGACCTATTAATTAATAAAATCGGTTTTGTAGAACTGTAGATTTAATTGTACAAAGTTTAACAACAACATCTTTCATTCAGTATTTTTCACCACTATAAATTGGGAGGTTGCTTAACGTTTTTGCAAATAACTTTGATATGGTGAGGAAATCGTCCAAAGTGGAAGGTGATATTCTGATAGAGAATAAAATTTCCTACAAACTACTGTTATGTATTTCTTGAAAATACTCAATAAAGGCAGCCTAAAGTTGGCTACAAAATATAAACTTGAGGAAAAAAGGCGATTTAAATGTATTACCGGTTGTTTTTTTATATTTTTTCACCTCAAATATGTAATAAAATCAAACTTTCATAATTATTTGCAAATTTACACGAACTAGGATTTCCAACGATCCATTAAGTAACAAAATCAGTCCGGTAGAAGTCTAGATTTAGTTGTACAAAGTTTAACAAAATTATATCAAATTCAGTATTTTCTAACCACTATAAATTTGGAGGTGACTTAGCTTATTGCCAATAACTTTTGAATGGAGGGGAAATCGACCAAAGTGGATGTGATATTCTGAAAGAGAATAAAATTTACTACAATTAACTACTATGCATTTCTTGAAAATACTAAATAAAGGCAGACAAAAGCTGGCTACAAACAGAAACTTGAAAATCTACATGAGTTAGGCTTTCCAATGACCCATTAGTTAACAAAATCGGTCCAGTAGAAGTCTAGATTTAGTTGTACAAAGTTTAACAACAATATCCCTAACTCAGTATTTACTCATTACTGAAATTTCGGAGGTTGCTTAGCTTTTTTGCAAAATACCTTTAAATGGTGAGGAAATCGACCAATATGGAAGGTGATATTCTGAAAGAGAATAAAACTTCCTACAAATTGATACCATGCACTTTTTCAAAATACTCAAAAAATGCAGCCAAAAGCCGCACACAAATAAAAAGTTTGAAAAACACCGTTTTCAATGTATTTCTTATGGAAAACATGTTTTTTAAACATTTTTCACCATAAATCATGACAAAAACAAACTTTCATAATTATTTGCAAATCTACATGAACTAAGCTTTCCAACGACCCATTAATTAATAAAATCGGTCCGGTAGAACTCTAGATTTAGTTGTACAAAGATTTTTTAAACTGAATTATATATAGAATAGAATGCAATTATTGATTTCTATTTTATGTATACAATAATCTACAAGAAATTGTCATCTTTAAATTAAAATGCACACCATTTTAGAGCATAATATTTTAGTAATGTGAATTTAAATTGATAGTTAATCTTATACTGCAGATTTCCAAAAGTAGTGGATGAATCCTTGCCCAATACAACGTGTGCAATGTTTTAAGGAGGACAGTTACAACAAATCCAACAAAAGTAGTATGCCTAGGTTAGATCGGTTGGATTTGCAAGTTTATAATAAGCTTTCCAACGACCCATTAATTAATAAAATCGGTCCGGTAGAACTCTAGATTTATTTGTACAAAGATTTTTAAAACTGAATTATATATAGAATAAATTGTTAATTACGCATATTTCCATTCTCACCTACAATATGGTGTTCTCTTATGGGTTAACTCTGTAGGAGAATAAACCGTTTTTAAATGGCAAAGGAAAGCAGTTACATTATAGAGGAAAAATGCCCAGGGAAGATTGCAAAGCAGATTTTAAGGCCTTAAATATCCTAACCCTTCCATCTTTATACATTTTAAATTGCTTATTATAGGTAAAAGAGAATATAGACCAGTATAGCATCCGATCTAAATAAAACAATAAAAGTTGGATAAAGAAATTAGTATTATTTTATTTAACAAAGCCCATGTTATGAGTAGAATGAGAATCAATTGTTATTCTTTAATAATAAACAACACATGTTTTTAAAGAATATTAATACCAACTCAACTCACAGGC